GATTTAATCCATTAGTACTTACATAAATTGTTGTCATTATATTAATAAAACTAACAATAGCCGCAATCTCTTTATACATATCTATAAAGATTTCTGATTTCTCAATTTCATCATAAATATTCAAGTTTGAATGTTGCATTCCGATTTCATGAAACCTCCGTTCTCCCCAGCACTCGTATGCCAACACAAGATATCCTTTAATAAACACTTCTTCAATAAAAACACTGATTTCTTTCGGTTGTCGTTGATTAATTAACATGGCCTGAATTTTAATTATATCACTAAGAATCATCCAAAAATATCCAAATACTTTTATATTCTCATATTTAGATCTATAAACTTTATACCATTTCATTCTTGCAACCATGGTTCCCACATTTTCTGCATCATCCTCAAGATCCTTTCTTTTCTCAAAATCCTCAATAGAATCATATGCCTTGCCAATTCTTTCTAATTTGGATGCCGTTTCGTCAGATATATTAGAATAGCTGAATTCTTTGTGTGGTGTTACGGGGGAACTGGGACTTTCGGGGGTTTCATAACCCGTGTTGTATTGCTTTCCACGAATGCCGTAAGAGGAGAAGCCAAAATTTTCAATAATGTAAGGTCCAACATGTTCAACATGTAGATTATCAACAAAATCTGGTGTGCTCATTGTTCTTTATCTTTTGCAATTCACTTCTACTTATGATTGAAATTCACTTATATTTAAAGTACTATTACTAAGTACTATTACTTTAAATGAGAATTTCAAAAAGCTTTACAAATTGCTTGCCTTAATAACCTGAATTTTCTACACGCAAAGCTCCTTTCCCTTTAATTAAATATATTCCTGTAAAACAATACACGAGAAAAACGCATACTATATCCTAATATCAAATTTTGGTTAGTTAATTAGAAAAGTTATCTCATGTATTATATTATTTATTATATACTGTATAATACCTGTACATCTAGTATTATATAATTTATATAATTCGAATTATATACAATACATTCTCGTAGACAACCAAAGTCACACATCAACAAGACCGGATTATAAAAATTCAAACCTTTTTTTAGCCACTTTCCTTCTCACTGGAATGGAATTTTTTTCATGATCATGCGAGTGTCCGAATACACTTTCATTAGTGCGGTATTTTATAATGATAACAATGGCGATTTTAAAACAAGTTAATCTTATCGTTACAAGAATGCGTAAACAAAAGATAACAAGAATATAAACAATACGCTTCATCTTTCATCTATCGCATTATTTGAATTCATACTGTAAATATCGATGTATTTACATAATCTCGTTTGGTTTTTGTTTCTCAAATTCAATGATTCAATTGGTAAATGCCACAGTAGTTAAAGTATCCATCACAATAAAATTTTATTGGCTCACGCGTTTTAGGTTAACCTTCGAGCATATTAATGGAATATATTAGGGTATATTAATGGTGTATATTAGTGTATATTAATGGAATATATTAGGGTATATTAATGGTGTATATTAGTGTATATTAATGGTGTACAGTATATTAGGGTTAATCGTCATTCTCACCGGATCGATTAGGATTGTATATTACGTAGTATATTCATGCTTCTTTGAATTTATCTGTATAAATGGCGAACTAATACTTCTTTAGGTTATCATATCGACCTCTGCTTAATTTTCCGGTCTGCTTGCCGGTTTCAATAATTGCAATCTACTCTAATTATCTAACTCAATTTTGATGTTTTTTACAGCTGATCTAATAACCTAATTGGTTATATTCACGTGCCAACGATTTCTCTTCCACGTCCAGAGTTGGCTTCAAATCATTTTGACCAATGACCCGTCTGGTCCAATCCATTGTTGTGTTAATTGTTAATCTTTATTAATCGGGACAACTAAATGTCAAATTTTATTTGTATAGGCTGATCATTTGACATCTATATAGAATAAATTGAAAACATCAAAATTAGAGGGTCTGATTTCATATATAGTAATGATGTGAATATTTCCTTCAAATAGTACGCTCTTTTTTTCACGTGATATTTTATGACGATTTCACTGTAATAGGAGTTTTGAGTAGCGTTACTTCAAATGCACAGGATATTTACGCCCAAGATCAAACAAATAATCTATATCGTTAACAAGATGACAGCAGGTTTATTCATTCTCATGATTCCTGAAGGTTCAAAAAACAAACAACTAAATCAAGAAATATTCGGAAAGTTATATCGTTATATAATTATTTTCCGAATCCCTTAAATTTTCAGGGAAATTGCGAAAACAGGCAAACAGGCAAACCGAGTCCATTTTAACAAATTTTAAAGTTGTTAATTTAATCTTATTGACCAATAGATTATTTAAAAATTTTACAAACAAATCATTTAAAATTGCAGTTCATGTGTTTGATTTATTAACTAGGCGCCAATCAATACTTAAAAACCGCCCATAAAAACCATATAAAAATTCTAACCCTTTATATATCATAACCTGGAGAATCAATCCTTTTTTTTTTTTTTTTTTGTAATCTCCGTTTTTAACGAATTTATTCTTTTTAACGAATTATTCTTTTTAATGATTTGTTTCTTTTTATCATCATAAAAAAATAATAATAATAATTTTAACTATTTATAATAAAAGTTTTCCTTCCGCAGTAAGGTTTTCTTTTAGTGAAAATGTTATTGTTGAATTCTTTTACATCGATTCTTTTTCTGGTGACCACTGCTTATGGATGTGGTATGTCCGTACATACCGAAGTCACGGCCAGAGCAATTTACTCTTTTAATCCTACCATACAGGAGTATTCCAAATATGCCAATTATTTACGTAAAAATCCACAATTTGTTCAGGTATGTGATTCCGCATATCCTTTAGAAACAAAATGATCAAAAAGAAATGGATCTGGTTTAATTTGAAAAAAAAACGAAACTCGAATTTTATTTATAATTTTTGCAAAGGCGGGATCATTTTTTCCGGATTGGTTCGTTTTTAATTTTTAATTTATTAATTGCTACTTTTTTTTTTAAAAAAAATTCTTTCAAATAAATAACATTATGCTTCGACTTTATCATAGGGGATACAATTGTTGGAAAAACGATGAACTTTCGGAAATTGGTATGATTTATTTGTTCCTTGTGGTTTTTATAAATAAATGTTGAATCTAATTATTTGCAAAAAAAATTTTTTTTGTTTAAAAAAAAAAAAAATTATTTAGCTCATTGGCCTCCTTTCATCAAAACAGCCACAGAATATATTCGCGAAAAGTATAAAAGCGAATCATGGGAACAGGATGAAGTGGCCCAGGTTTGCACCAAAAAACATTTTAAATTACATTAAATTATCATACCATATTAAATTTTTTTTTTTTTTTTTTGACTTGAAGGGAGTAATTTCTTTTCTATACGCGATAACCTCTCATGGGACAGCAGATGTTTCATTTCATAGCTTAGCAGGACTTGATGATGGATTCATAGCCACAATGTCTGAAGTAAATTTTAAGCAAGATTACCATGCGGCACATTCTGCGGCTGACATGGGTGGTGAATTCACTCTTTCACATATGGTTGATTTGGATTATCTTGAGGTACTTACACTACTATATATATCTAATATCCATAATGTAATGGTCGTATTCAAGTTATAACTTTTTTTTTTAGGATGAATGGCGAGTGCCTGTTGATGATATAATAGAAATATATAAAAGAATCAACCAAACAGCATCGAGAAAGCATATAGATTATTGTGTTAAACAAGCATTTGCTGCCATGCAAGCTAATAAAGTAAGTTGAAAAATGTATATTATGTATTAAATATTCGAACTGTCAAATAAAATTCAATTATTTTATAGAGATTTGGAAAAATTTTCTTCGCTGCATATGGTGAAAAGGTACGTCTGGTTATCAAAACTTGTATTATTCTTTTTAATATCTCTGACTTTTAGGTTTATTCAGTCACCTTTTTTGCTTGAAAAATTGGAAGAATATTACCGTGGAGGTAAAGCAACAAATAAATAAATAATAAATAAATAATAAAATAAATAATAGATTTTTTCAATCCTTTTAATTTTTCTTTTTAATTAATGGGATTCATGGCATCT